GGATTTTAAGCACGACTGGAGTGAGACAATGTTCTAAAACGGCTCAAATGGCAATGCAGCAGCTGGATATCATCTCTGATAATTTGAATAACTATTCAACTTTCCTATTTTAGAATGACCACAGTACAAATACTAGAAATAATTATAAGATCCTAATGGTAAAATTACCCCCAAAGAGCAAACTTTTTTTTTTTTTTTTTTTTTTTCTGCCACTAAATTATGAACTACTTTTATTTACCTCTCATATTATTTCCTTATGCTGCTTCCTCAGAATTTAGGTGTTAATTTCCTCTCAAGCACCAGAGAAAGGTAAGTTACGTCAACTAAAAATACTCGTTAATAATTTAAATTATCCTTGTGAATATTTGAGCCACATTAAACTAATTTAGGTTTGAATTCATTTTAACCATCTTGGTGGTAAATTCTAATGCTAACATACGATTTCTACAGTAAACTTTATACAAATAAAAGTGATCAAAACAAGGATTATCACTTCCCCTTTCTAACTTCTTTCTTAGATAAATAATAAATTGATAAATTTTCAAATGCTTACATCTGTTAAAAATAAAAATAAAATAATAGAACATTTACATTAATAACTTTCGAAGGAAACACTAAAATTCAGAGGTTATTTTTTTTTCTTGGTGGCCAGATCTTACCTAATAATTCTGATTATGTTGTCTTCCATGAAGCCATCTAATGGGTATTTCTTCAAAACTAGCATATATTTCGATAGTTAGTTTATATTAAAATTTCGAAAATTAATGCTTCTGCTATGCTTGACGATTGCTTAAATTATTATCTGTATAAACCTGTTAGGTATAAACCTGTCTTCTTCCCTAGCGCTTATTTTCGAGATGTAATTGGAAGCACTTCCGGCTAGATATAAAATGACAGTTCTGGACCAATATTGAAAATGATAGTAATATATTAGTTTTCATTTAGTGTAGTGTACTAGCAGTAGCTGTAAAATGACAGTTCTGGGCCAGCAGGAGAGTGGGTCAGGGGCGTGGCCAATGATATAACAGATGCGACGTGCAACGCCATCGATGGAATCATACTAGAGGGCGTACCCAATGACGTCACGAATAAAGCTGAATTGTTTTATGCTGCTGGTTGGGTTGTAGACCTCCTGCTGCTAAGAGTTTTCACTTAAATTTAGTATTTTCAAAATTGGCAACGGATCAAGTGAATACTTTTTGCATCTTAACTTCCGTGATACGCTCATGCTGCCCAAAGTTGACGAAAAAGTGAATTGTGAATTTTAGAAATATGTTTTGAAGTCTGGCATTAAAAACTTTCAGTGCGCGTCTCAGAAAACAATGCATCAGAGGGGGAAAAAGTATGAAAAGGATTTCCATTTAATGACAATTCATCATGTCATGAAAATAAAATTACAAGATTTTTTTATTTATTATTTTGATACTTTTCATTTATTTGATTTTATTTTGATACTTTTTATACTTTCTAGTGTTTCATAAACTTTTAATTTTAATTGATTTATAATATTTTCTGTTCATAATAACATATTTGTTTGTTGCCATATTTTTTAATACTTAAGGTTTCTAATTTGCAATATTTTCATTTAAATTTCCAGATTATTTTTTTATATCTTTCATAATTTTCAACATGTTCTGAATTTTAACATGTTACGTTATACGAACTTATACTTACTTGTTACTTATACTTACATGTTATGTTAGACGAACGTAATTGTTCCCATACAAGCTGTTTATTTGTTACATTACTTAATTTTAGATGCAGTTTCGTCCTTTTTTTTAACGCTATAGTGTTCAATATATTCTGAATTCGCTATAGTGTTCAATATATTTATTTAACTTACTAGTCTTCTATAAACACTTTCAATTTAACTTATTTGTTTTACATACTATTCTATTTATAAAGAAACACTTATTTTTCATAATCTTAGTTATTTTATTAATTTTGAACAGGATTTATAATTTCTTTCACATGTCTAACAATATCTTCCTTACACTGCCGATTATTATTTTTAATATAAGCAATTTAAGTGTATAAATATTAATTAATTTTCTTACGTTTATGATTTTCCTCCTTAGTTTATACTTCATAGTTCTAGTTTAACTTATTTATTGTACTGTTTTCATTTGTGTCTCATCATTCATAATTCTAATATTTTATTCCATTTTAGACATTAATACAATTTTTAATAATCTAAATTGTTTTAATTTACTGCGTATTCAGACATTTCCTTATAGTTTTTTAAATACTTGTTATATTATGCGATCATAATTGATCATCTACATGATTTGATTAGACTTAGTTTTTTTACTCAGAATTTTCCATTCACAACTTTACAGTTTAATATCATTTATAACTAAATGTAAGTATTCCTTTCTCAAATAGTTTTAAGGTCTTCAAAAGATTCTAACATCATGTTTAGTTTTAAATCCCGATGTATTCCTAATTTTCGTTTCTAATTTTGCAACCACATTCAGTGTTTCATCCACACATACCAAAATATTCCTTACATCTTCTGATATTTAGTGTACGTCATATTTCAGTATTTCAAATGAATTTACACCACTCACACGATTATTTTTTTATATTTTAGAGCACTGACTATGCTAATTTTAACTTTATTCCTACACAAATTGAATCTACTTCCAACTCATGGAAAACTTTAAGGGAAACTAGCAATTTTTTGCATCACATGCACAAAGAAATTCTTAAACCAATTTTTTTCAGTATCGTACCCAAAATACCATTTTTCAAATGTGAATTACCAGTGTCCTTTGGTTTTACTTTGTTGCATCTTTTTAAATTTTAACATCTTGCTTTTATTCTAACATACCTTTTGTGAATTGCTTTTTCTTTTAATTCTAGCGCATAACCGTAACTTGTTTATTCAAATTCCATACAGTACCAACTTAATTCACTATCCAACCGCAATGTCTTTGATTCACATCCTGTGTGATAATACTGCAAGTTTCCTTAATTGGAAAAAAGTGAATATTTAATTATTAGTCATTTCAAAATAGAACTAATACATTTTTCACAAACATTACCTTCTCTTGAAAACACCCCTTAACCTATAACTGATTTAGAGATACAAAAGAGACTCTTATCATACGTCTCTCATTTGCAAACATCTTTGGACATTTCAGGTTTTAAATATTTTTTCGCAAGTATATCAATGCAATCAGAAAATACACTTGACATTTTTACTCAATTTAAAGGCGGCATACTGTTATAAGAATCTTTTTAGTTAAATTTATATCTCAAATAAACACATTTTGTGCTAAATATGCATAAACATTTAGATTTCGTTTATTTCTTTTTAATCTGATGTAAGACATGAATTTCATTCATGATATGGATTTTCTATTGATTTAATTGACCATACACTGTAGAAAATTTTTATTTTACAAATTCAACTTTTAACGAAATAGAAATAGAAACCGCGATACACCTGCTGATTTTAAGAAAAGAAACTTTGATATACTTCTGGAAATGTAAATGCTTCTATAGTTTTCATTCCATAACGTTGGTTTTCATTAGTTTACTAACTTCAAAAATTCTCTTATTAGCATATATATTTTTTATGGACAAAACATTGTCAAAATTGTGATACAGTATATAAAACTTACGAATATACATACCTTTACCAGCTTACACACATTACTGACTGAACCGAAGAAAGGCACAGATATTTTAATCCAATCTACCTTAAATTTAAAAAATATTTAAATATTCCCGAATACGAACGAAAACTGAATAGATATTGTTACATTTGCATATCTCTACGTATAATAAAAGGAAGAGTCTGTCTGTCCGCGTGTCTGTTTATGTATGTTTTTCGTTCGTGCTGCGCGTAAGCTAATAGACCCAGGGTTACGAAATTTGATACATAAGTGCCTCTAGACGATACATTTAAACGCCAGACAAAGGCTGGCCGCGTAGCGGCTGTTATCATATAAAATTAATTAAAAACGTTTATGTGTGTTAGTTGAAGTAATGCTTATAACTTCATAAACGTGAGCATTTACTATGTTAACACACGTATCATCAGTTATTTACATTATTCAATGTAATATCATCATTTAATACATGTACTATATGTATATATATTTAAAGTTTAATATTCTTACTTTTATTACAGCTGAATCATTAACTATTGAGAGAAAGAGGTTCATACTTACAATATTTAGTTCTGATTAAATAAAATTTCCTAGGACCCACGTTCAACCACGTTTGTAAAGACATTAGGTATTTTTTGAAAGCGAGAAAGATGAAAAATGAGCAACGCCCTCGCCGGGAATCGAACCACGGAACTCTGGAATACGCCCCCACGTGCAGACTACCACACTACGAAAGCATGCTAAGAAGGCGGGAGAAATACCTTATACATTTATTATATTCCTCATAGCTCTTCTATTTCTCTATTTTCACACTCACGACTCCTTTCAGCGGTAACTATTTCAGACATCGATAGGTATCTACCTCATAACTCAATTTTTCTACTAGTAGCAATTTTATATATTCAAAGATGTAATCTAAGTATTGTTCCTTCTATGTGTTCTAGAAAATCATTCAGTTGACAACGACTTGTGATTTTAGTAGACTTACATGCATTAACAGTGTCAACGTTTCTTCATTTTGCAAGGTTCGTGTCAAGGCATATTGGTGTAACATATCAATCTCTCTTTCAAACGCTTGTGAACATTGGATACAGTTTCTAAGAAGAGAAGTATCATGCTGCTTCAAAACATCATCAGCAGTAATTTTTTTGACAGCTACTATATTTAAAAAATGTTCGTGAGATTTCGAATTGAATGAAGAATACAAAATATCCGCAACCAAGAGTCTCTACTGCATTATCAACTTTGAATTTTTCATTTCCTTTTCTTGATTATCGGGCATGAAGTTTTCAAGGACAGATTTCATATAGCTGACAAGCCAATTATCCTCTGGAAGTTCCTCTTCATCATCTCTCAATCGTATTTTATTTTTCGAAATTTTTATGCTGCGAAATGGTATATATGGAGTCTAATTTTAGGATCTTTAACATCAGTTTGGGACGGTATTCCGTGCATCCAAAGTTGATTCGTTGGTGGTTTTGTCATGATGAGTGATCCATGATTTAAGTCCAGAGTACGAGATGTAAAAGTTAGTCCGGAAAATATCATTCGACGTTTTGCACCTAAACTGATGGTAGGTATATCACATTCAGATTCGAGACAAGCTTCGTAGTATTTGTGCATAGATATCTTAGCAAGTCCGTCAGGACAGTAGTTCAATAAGACAAAATTATATTTTATGCCTGTCACTGTTTCAACGTCTTCTTTAATATTTAGAAGAGACTGCGACCAAGGTTCTGCACCAAGCCTCGTTGCAGAGAATTCGTAACTAATTCCTTCATCACCAAATCCGAGAACATTTCTTCGTGGGGTATACTGATTTGTATTAATTTGAATATTAATATTTTTAAATTCATAGTTTGATATTCCTTCTAGCAAAGTATTAGCTATATTTCGTGAATAAAATTCTTCCATAAATTCCATGTTTAACTCTGCGTCAGTTAAATCTGTCATATTGGCTTTACCATCCGGTTCCTAAATAGTAGGAATTATCTGAAACCACATTAACCAAATAATTTCATCACTTTGATAGGATGAAAAGAAGGTTTCATTTGTTTCGTTCGTATGAGTAAAAATAAACTCGTGTTTTCATAAAAGGTCTAAGTACTGCATCGGAAAGCGCATGATTGCGTTGTCATAGTATGATAGGTTACTAGAAAGTTCTGAAACCCTGATAATCGATGAAAACGTATTTGGAAGAACTGCTATTCTCAGATTTTGGTCTTACACAAATATAAGTGAAGGATAATCTTTGATAAGCATTGTAGTTTTAAAAGGGAAAATACGACTTTTTCCTTTTAAAATTACAACATGTAAGAGATTCTTTAAGGCAGAAAAATATTATTCACTTACTTCATGACATGTTTTTTGAATCTAAATGTTATGAAGATTACAAAAATGCTTTGATGTAAGCACAGCTTCTTTATATAAATTTCTGTGTTTGATTGATGTTATGTCTATTTTGGTTTCCTTATATGTTTTTATAAAAATATAATAAAATTTTATTTAAATTTTATAACAAACATGTAAATTATCAAATATAAGAATATGGATATTGCTCTTAACTTTATATCAATTAATGAAAGAAAATTTTAAGTACACTTTAAAAATAATACAGAAACTTGTTCTTTGGAAAATAAATAAATGAATTAAAATGGAAAAGCTTCTTGGCGAAATGAAGTTTATCATTATTTTTATAACATCTTTTTAAAGCTATTTGTATTTCCAATGCAGTATATGTTTCAAGCAATTCACTCGTGTTGAAAATTTAAGAATTCATGAAGTGATTCATCTCTGAAATTTTACTTGTGCGATATATTTGCAAGGTTTCCAGAAAACGAGTAATCTGAAGAGGCATTTGAAATCTCATGAAAGAATCTTCAGATGTCTTCTTGTCCTAAGAAATTTAGCGAAGTTGATAGTTTGAAAAGTCATGAAACTTCTCGTCTTGAAATTTGTAGTCAATCATAACAAGTTCTTTTCTTGTAAAATGGATATCAAAACTTATAAAGTTACTTTTAAGTGTAAATAATGCTCAAAAATATTAAGTGAACTTGACAAAACATGAAACTTTACATGTTAGACGTTGTATTGAATGTTCGGATATTTTTTCAAATAAAAAAGAATTTGAAGAGGCAAATGAAATCTCACGAACTTTCTTTAAATATAGTAGCTGTCAAAAACAATTACTGATGATGATGTTTTAAAACGTCATGATACTTCTCTTCTTAGAAATTGTAACTAATGTTCACAAGTGTTTAAAAGAGAAATTGATCTATTACACCAACATTCGAATGCAATATGGTTTGACACGAACCTTGCAAAACGAAGAAATGTTGACATAGTTAGTGCATGTAAGTCTTACTAAAATCACAAGTCAGAATCTAAATGTTTATACATATGTAGCACAAAATGTGTTTATTTGCGTTATAAATTTAACTAAAATGATTCTTATAACAATATGTCGCCTTTAAATTGAGTAAAAATGTCAGGTATGTTTTCTGATTATATTGATATACTTGCGAAAAAAGATTTAAAACCTGAAATGTCCAAAGATGTTTACAAATGAGCGACGTGTGATAAGAGTCGTCTTTGTATTTCTAAATCAGTTATAGGTTAAGGGGTGTTTTCAATAGAAGGTAATGTTTGTGAAAATTAGTTCTATTTTGAAATGACTAATAATTAAATATTCACTTTTTTTTCAAATTAAGGAAACTTGCAGTATTATCACATAGGATGTGAATGAAAGACATTGCGGTTGGATAGTGAATTAAGTTGGTACTGTATGGAATTTGAATAAACAAGTTAATGTTATGCGCTAGAATTAAAAGAAAAAGCAATACACAAAATGTATGTTAGAATGAAAAGAAAGATGTTAAAATTTAAAAAGATGCATCAAAGTAAAACCATAGAACACTGGTAATTTGCATTTGAAAAATGGTATTTTGTGTACGATAATGAACATGTTGGTTTTAAGAATTTCTTTGTGCATGTGATGCAAAAAATTGCTAGTTTCCCTTAAAGTTTTCCATGAGTTTGGACGTAGATGCAATTAATGCAGGAAATGGTAAAATTAGCATAGTCAGTGCATCTAAAATATGAAAAAATAATCATGAGAGTGGTGTAAATTCATTTGAAATAGTGAAATATGACGTAGCTTATATATCAGAAGATGTTAGATATATTTTGTTATGTGTGGATGAAACACGGAATGTGGTTGTAAAATTAGAAACAAAAATTGGGAATACACTTAAAAGTAATCAGGATTTAAAAATAAACATGATGTTAGAAAATTTTGAAGACCTTTAAACGATATGAGAAAGAAATACTTACATTTAGTTATAAATAATATTAAACAGTAAAGTTGTGAATGGAAATTTGAGTAAAAAAAAACTAAGTCTAATGAAATCATGTAGATAATCAATTGTGATCGGAGAATATAACATGTTTTTAAAAAATTATAAGGATATGTCTGAATACGCAGTAAATTAAGAACATTCATATTATTAAAAATTGTGTTAGTGTCAAAAATGGAATAAAATATTAGAATTTTGAATAATGAGACACAAATGAAAAGAGTACAATAAAGAGGTTAAACTAGTACTATGAAATATAAACTAAGGAGTGAAATCATAAACGTAAGAAAAGTAATTAATAGTTATACACTTATACTGCTTAAAATTTTTAAAAAAATAACGGGCAGTGTAAGGAAGATATTGTTAAACATGTGAAATAAATTTAAAATACTGTATAAAATTAAGTAAAATAACTAAGATTATGAAAAATAAACGTTTCTTTATAAATAGAATATATAAAGTAAATAAGTTAAATTGAAATTTTGTATAGAAAATTAGTAAGGTAAATAAACAAAAACAAAAATAAGGATTTTAAAAATTATGTTTAAAATAAAATGGTATAATAAGCAGTAGTTTTACATGATGGGAAACTATAAGAAATATGTTGAAATTCAGAGTATATTGAACATTACGGAGTTAAAAAAAAGTGAGAAATTGCATCTAAAATTATGTAATATAACAAATAAACAGCATGTATGTGAACAATTACGTTCGCATAACATAACATATAAGTTAAAATTCAGAGTATGTTGAAAATTAGGAAAGGTATGAAAAAAATAATCTGGACAATTTAAATGAAAATATAACAAATTAGAAACCTTAAGTATTAAAAAATATGTCAGCATTATGTCATCGATATCGTTGCACGTTGCACCTGTGACGTCACTGGCCACGACACTAAACCGCTAGCGCAAAACTGTCCTTTTATAGCTACTATTAGCTGCTATTTACTTTGAGATCGTAAGAATCAGCGAAAGCGAACTCACCAAATGGCAGCACTACAGTTAGTTCGGCAATTAATAACCAAATTAATGAACTCTGTTATTTGATGGAATTTTTTTTCTTTTTTTAATCGGAGTATATCTCTGTTACCTGACTATTGTTAAATTAAGTCACACCAATCTTGACTTAAACAAAAGGGCAAAATATGCATAATTTCATCTTAACGTAAATTAATCAGCTAAGTAAAACTCGATTTTCAGCTGCACTTTTCCTCCCGCAATCCCTTAAGCTACCTGAATACCTGAATTGCTTGGCTGGAAAACTGTTAATTGAATTCTACAGTTGACGTCTAGCCGTTATTTGTTATGAAATAACAGCCATAATGTATAAACTGGAATTTGCATGATTGATAAATTGGAAAAAATGCAGTAATTATGCACGGTGTGACAGTCTAAAGATTTTAAAATGCTATTAACCACCTTTCTCTATGGTATAAAAATAAAGACTTGAAGTTTATTCTAACATTGTCTGCGTGAAATGCATCTAAATGTATGAATGTGCGCGGTACGTCACCATTGCTCAAATGCATATGTGCTTATATACAATAAAGAAGTAAAATTTATTACATCTGTTTTGTATTGTAATATCAGCTTCTAAATATTTTATCTTATATATTTGCTACTTATGCCTTATCTTATTCCTGGGATTTATGACAGTTACTAAACGGTGATTTAATCAGTTTTGTGGTATTTGAGGAACAAGGAGAAGAAGAATTCAAGTTTCCAATCATGATTGCAAAAAAAGCTTATATTCAAAGCCCTTTTTGCAAATTCAGTCGCAGCCTTCATAGCTAACCATAGTTCTGGCATAGCATTGTCTCCTTAAGTTATACAGGCACAGAACTAAGGGGTAGAAACTTACGTAGTGCATTTAATAATAAATAACATTTTAATGTTGCGCAATGTATCTCGATTTTTTTTTTCATTTTCGAAAAGCTTTTTAATTAAAGCTTTAATTTTATTTAAAATTTGTTTTACATAAAATTTAATTTTATTTAAAATCAAAGTTTTAATTTTTTAATTTAAACTTTAATTTTTTCGAAAAGCTTTTCTGAAGGTTTTAATTCTTTAGAAGGTTGAAAGATAAAGAATGGCGACTGAATGATATTGCACATCTCATTAGTTTTGAAAAATAACAGAAACAATTTCTGTTATAGTATTATTGTAAATAAATTTGTATAACAGAGCAATATTGGGAACAGGCATAATATTTTAGGAAAGGAAGTTAAACCAGAAAAATAGAAAGATAGAAAGTGAAAGGGATTTTTTTTATCGTGAATATAAAATTTGGATTTAAAAAACTTATTTGATCTTTAAAAAGACTTTAAATTATGAGCTTAAAAATAAGCTTGCCTTAAAATTTATTATTTTAATTTATTATTTTTATAAGCCATTAAAAATTTATTTATCTTGCCATTCTTATTTTGATTTCAAAACTTTCACATTAAAAAAACTAAGGCTTAGATGTATAGATAGGAAGTGAAAGAGAAAAGAAAAGTATTAGATATAGTGAGGGGAAAAAATTAAATACATCCATCCAGAACGCAATAATACTGAATCCAAATATATCGTAATAATAATGATACTATTAAAATGA